GGCTGGTGGCTGAGCTCGAAAAGCTCAAGACCTTGGGATGCTGGCCCGGACGGCCTTTGGGTGCTGTAGACAGAACAGGACACTGCATTCCTTGTGAGGCCCTCCTGTGGCTGGTGCTGGGAGCACCGGGGAACCTAGTGGACAAGCGGGTCAGGGAGGCTGAACAGGGTTCACCTGATGCTGAGGAGGAGTCGGCCGAGCCCCCCACACCGGGCTCTCAGGACTAGGTGCCCCACCCATGAGAAGCAAGGCTCAGGGAACTCATGCACCCCACCGGTCAGACAGCACACAGCGGGGAGGGACAGAAGACGCAGGCCCCTCCCTCAGCCCCCACACCCACCAGGGCCTCAGACAGAGAGACAGGTCACCATGCTCTCTCTCCCTATGATGCTGACTCCATCCCCCAGGCCTGAGAGGTGGCCTTCAGGGACCCCAGGGCCCAGACTCCCCCATGCTCTACAGGGACACAGCTGCACGGTGGGGAGCCGACCCCAGTAGTAGCTTGGCACCCGGGCCCTGGTTTTGGTTTTGCTTTCTGCAGCCTTCCAAAGCAGGGGGTGCAGGTTCGATCCCCAGTCAGGGAGCTAAGATCCCACATGCCTTGAGGTTTAAAATTTTTTTAAAAATCAAAATATAAAACAGAAAGGGTTTCATCCCTGGGTGGAGAAGAATCCCTAGAGAAGGGCATGGCAACCCACTCCAGTATTCTTGCCCGAAGAATTCCATGGAGTCTGTCTACAGTCTATGGGATAGCAAAGAGCTGGACATGACTGTGACACTTGCCCACCCCCAGCTGGACACAGGAGGTGCCCTGCAGCCCCCGAGGCAATGCCGAGCATGGAACAGCCTATCCAGGGGTTGGGGTCAGCAGGTACTAGAGGCTTCCAAGAGCTCGTGTCTGCAGAGGGTGATGCTTCACCTGTCCCAGGCTCTCTGAAGCTGGCCTGTCTGCTTGTTCCCTCCAGGCTCAGTGCCTCTGCCTCTGGCTGAAGCATGAATGGCCTTGAGGAGGCCTCCCCAGGTATACTGGCCAACTCCTCCCTGGCCCCTGTGGAGCAATGCGGCCAAGAGACACCCCTGGAAAACGTCCTCTTCGCCTCTTTCTACCTCCTGGATTTCATCCTCGCTTTTGTGGGCAACGCCCTGGCCCTGTGGCTCTTCATCCGGGATCACAAGTCCGGCACCCCGGCCAACGTGTTCCTGATGCACCTGGCCGTGGCCGACCTGTCCTGCGTGCTGGTCCTCCCCACCCGCCTGGTCTACCACTTCTCAGGGAATCACTGGCCCTTTGGGGAGATTCCGTGCCGGCTCACGGGCTTCCTCTTCTACCTCAACATGTACGCCAGCATCTACTTCCTCACCTGCATCAGCGCTGACCGCTTCCTGGCCATCGTGCACCCCGTCAAGTCCCTCAAGCTCCGCAGGCCGCTCCACGCCCACCTGGCCTGTGCCTTCCTGTGGGTAGTGGTGGCTGTGGCCATGGCCCCGCTGCTGGTGAGCCCGCAGACCGTACGGACCAACCACACGGTGGTCTGCCTGCAGCTCTACAGGGAAAAGGCTTCCCAGCACGCCCTGGCGTCCCTGGCCGTGGCCTTCACCTTCCCATTCGTCACCACGGTCACCTGCTACCTGCTGATCATCCGCAGCCTGCGGCAGGGCCCGCGCGTGGAGCGGCGCCTCAAGAACAAGGCGGTGCGCATGATCGCGGCGGTGCTGGCCATCTTCCTGGTCTGCTTCGTGCCGTACCACGTCCACCGCTCCGTTTACGTGCTGCGCTACCGCGGCCAGCGCACCTCGTGCGCCGCCCAGCGCGCGCTGGCGCTCGGCAACCGCATCACCTCCTGCCTCACCAGCCTCAACGGCGCGCTGGACCCCGTCATGTACTTCTTCGTGGCTGAGAAGTTCCGCGATGCTCTGCGCAGCCTGCTGTGCGGCAAGCGGCTCCCAGGGTTACCCCCCAGCGCCGACGGCAGGACCAACGAGAGCTCGCTGAGCGCCCGGTCGGAGCTGTAAGCCTGGGCCCCGCCCCCGCCCCAACCCCACAGGGGCCACCCCGCAGACCCACCGAGGAGGAGTCCACCTCCCCTGGGAAAAGAACGAGACCCCAGCCGGTCACCGTCACCCGCTTCCAGGCCCGAACTCATCACCCAGTGCCGAGTCCTGTCTTGGCTGTCAGCAGCCCCTGGTGAGGCAGCGCCAAAGGGCCCAGACGGCCACTTCTCTGCGGGCACGGGACTGATCCTGCTCATTCACAGCCACTAGACACTCAGTGACTTGGACCCCCCCCCCGCACCCCCCACCCCCCGGTGATGGGCAAGGAGGCCAGAGGAACATTCCTGAACAATGAGCGTCTTTCTTTCCAAAGTGCCCCCTGCGAGGCTCTCGGCCTCCTTCTCACAACAGAAACACATGGCAGCGAAGCTCGGCAGAGAGAACACAGGAGACAGAGGGGAACGGCCTGCCAGAAGGCGGGCACGGGTCGGGGCAGGGCTCGGTGGACGGTCAGGAGAAGGTGTCTAGAGATTTCCTCTCAAGTGCAAGGTGCTTTGAGTTCCCTTTGTGGCACCTTTCCCAAAGGCCCCTGCATTTGGGGGAAACAGGCAGTACATGAGAGCCGAACACTGTAAGCACATTTCAGGGTGATCTCCAGGTGACGTCCAGTAACACAGGGCTTGTGGGACACATCAGCTCTCTGTCCCTCCTGGCACACACAGACCTGCATGTGCTGACAATCCCCTGTGCTTCTTGGCAGGTGCCCTGTCCCTTCTGAGTCCTGGGGGAGCACAGACCATGGGTGGGCCATCACGGGGAGCCCAGCTTTGTCACTGCTGTGTGGGGGGGAGGCACACAGCCTGGCCCATGAATCTATCTCCCACCAACCCAGACCCAGCAGGGGCAGGATCCTACTCCTCCCCAAGAGGCCTTCACCTGGCTAGCCAAGCGGTGAGGTGTTTTGCTTAGAGGGTGGCCTGTATGCCCCTCACGGGTTCTTTTATGTACTTGGTTATACTGATCATAAGGGCTTCCCTGGTGGCTCAGTTGGTAAAGAATCTGCTTGCAATGCAGAAGACTGCCTGCAATATAGGAGACCCGCATTCAATTCCTGGGTCAGGAAGATCCCCTGGAGAAAGAAATGGCAACCCGCTCCAGGATTCTTGCCTGGGAAATCCCATGGACAGAGGAACCTGGTAGGCTACAGTCCAGGTCACAAAGAGTTGGATACAACTGAAGCAACTTAGCGTGCATGCATACTGATCATAAACGTAACTGTACTTTAATAACTGAAAGTTATTCTCTTTGATTAATGCAACTCCCTCCCCAGAACTTCTCTTCCTTCCAACCCAAGAATGGCAAAGTGGTGGCACAGGCAGCAGTGTGGACTGTGCTTCTGCTGGCCCTACAGCCGGCCCACCCCGCACAGACTCTGACGTTCTGCCTTGTGGGTTTCAGAGTGCCGACCTGGGCTGCAGGGTGCCCCACCTGGCTGTTACCACAGTAATACTTTATTTTCCTGAACAAGTCCAGCCTCTTCTGGACTTTTCCAGCAAACACTAGAGCAGGAGTCCCTGCGTGAGCTGCAGCTTTGGCCCACACCTGGCAGGTGACCTCAGGGAGCAGTTCGGGACCCCTGCTGCACTGTCTGCCCCCCCATGGCCCCTCATATCAGCACTCAACACTCAGGCACCTAGTGCAGGGAGCACCCTGCAGACACCAGGATGAACAGCACACGTCTCTGCTGGAGAAGACAGACGGACAAGGTCACTACAGCAGCGTTACGAAGTGGGGCTCCGAGAGAGCCAGAGATGGTGACCAGCGCCCAGACAGGGGAGCAAGCCGGGGGCAGACAGACAACTGAGGTGTTGCTAACAAGGCAGGTGTGTGCTTCCGTGAGGCCTGACTGCCAGCAGAGGAGAAACTCAAAGTTGGCCGGTTGGGTTCTGTGGCATTTGGGATGCCTGCCAGACACTGTGGAGATGGCATGTGGGCAATGGGGTATTCCGAGGGAGAGGTCTAGGGTGGAGGCCTACATCTGGATTGCCCAGCAGAGACCCGCCATTTGGGCCAAATGCAAAGCCCCAAAGGAGCCCGCCATAGAGAGACGGGTGGAGGAAGGGGAATGGAGCCAGGAGAGGGACAGCACAGCCATGAGGCACGAAACCACCAGAACATGGGTTCCTGGGCACCCGGAGAGAAGCAGGAGTGGCAGTGAAGGCTGCGGGAGCCCTGAGCAGCTTGGGCAGTGGGGAGTAGATGGAGGAACCGGCTGGGTGCTGGGAAGGGCTGCAGGGAGTCACCGTGGAGCGAAGGCTGACAGGATGCTTTGAACCAGGGGGCCACCACGCCTGAGCCATTAGAAATGGACCAGCAAGGTCCAGAGCTGTGAGCCCTACTGGAGGAGCAGGGAGTGAGCAGGGCTTTGGATGCAGGGACACAGCCCCTGCTGTGACAAGGGAGGGGAGCACAGGTGCAGGGCAGGGGAGGTCAGGGCAAGGGAGGGGGAAGGGAGGTCCTGGCTGTGGGGGTGGGGGTGCAGGAACAGTGAGGGGCAGGGAGTGGGAGGAGAAAAGAGCAGGTCTTCGTGGAAGGTGACAGCTTAGCCTGCTAAGGGAGCCCGGGTCTGAATTTTGGAGCACCCTTGGGTCCCAGCTGAGTGCTTTCCCCCCAGCAGCACACGTGGGGTCTGAGGACAGGGGGGACAGCTGCAGCCTGGGTGGCCAGGCAGGCAGGAGCCTAACTCACAGCTCCTCATCCTCGCATTGCACCAGCAGCTCCCACTTTGGCCCCCTGCCTCCTGGCTGTCTACCGTCAGCCTGCTCCCAAGAGCAGCCCTGAGCCTGGGGTGGCCCCGATTCCTCACCCCTCACTCTCCAGCCCCCATCCTCACCCGTAAACCGGACAGAGTTCTCCTGCCCGCCTCACAGGGATGGCAGGGGCGGCAGCCCCACTGGCAGCCCGAGTCTCCTGGACCAGGCCTGGGCCTGTGGTGAGGCCCATCTCACCTGCCTGCATTCTTCACAAAGCCCAGGTCAGCCAGCTCCACGTCGCACAGCTCACAGCGGAAGCACCCAGGGTGCCAGTTGTTGTTCATGGCCTTGATGACGCGGCCAATGATGAATTCGCCTGCAGGAGAGAGGTCCTGCTGGCCTTGTGCCCTCCCCCTCCAGAGTTCCTCCACACTGGAGCCCACCTGGCTCTGCCTGGCCCCAGGGCGCCCTCCCCAGAGCTTGGGAAGGTGATGAGCACAGGGGTCCGAAGGCCACTGCTCAGAGAGACAGGGCTCCCTGCTATCCCATCCCCGCTTCCCAGGCATCGTGGAAGCCTTACCGCAGGACCCACAGCACGGAGCAAACAGCATCTGGAAGTCATGCTCGCAGTACTTCCGACCTTCGAACTGCAAATGGGGCCAGCAGAGAAAGGCAAGGAAGGCACTGTCATCCTCTGAGCTGCGCTGGTCGGTGGGGTGAGGACCTGCCCTCGGGGAGGCTGGACAAGCACTGTGTATACCCTGCTGTGTATACCTGCTGTGTATACCTGCTTTGTATACCTGATACCACCACAGGAAGCATGGCTGGGGGACTTCCTGGAGGAGGTGATAAGGAGTGGAAAGATGGAAGGGGATGGGGGTCCTCAGAAGAGGGATTTCCACACAGGGAGCAGTCAGCGCAAGGCCTGAGGGCGGGACGGGATTGCCCTGTCTGACTTGGGGAGAGTGCAGAATGAGGGACCTCGAGGAAGCTGGCAACTCGGCAAGGCTGGCCCCTCAAAGGGCCACTGCTGTTTGCTGAAGATCTTGGCCTTATTGGTCCCAGGGGCAGGCTTAGGGCTCAGGGTGGATGTTAATGCCAGGAAGCCCAGGGATCAAGGTTGAATTCTGTGTGTCCCTTGGCCCTGTTTCGTGTGTGAGAGGTCCACTCCCCCAGGGGCCACAAAAGATCTAGGGAAGGGACCCAGAAGAAGAGGCACAGGAATGGGGTGCAACAGAGCACCCCAAGTCCTGCATGATGTCCCCATCTGTCTGGGCAAGGAGGACCCTTGCACTAGCCCCAAGTATGGCCAACATGTACCTCTGCCTTCTCCTCCCTTGACGATTTTATCTGGTTTTCCCCTGTTCCCTAAGAGTGTCTTATTAAGCTGCACCTGGCTAGAGCCCTATCCAGCAGGGGCAGCAGGAATTTAAATCATAATAGGCACATCCACAGAGCCCTGTACCACTCCACCCCTTCACCCCACCTCCACCACTGGCCAGCAATTCTCAGGAGGCACCATGGGGAACAGCAGCTCCTGTTCAGTCAGGCAGATCACACACCTCCCAGCCGTCTGTCAGCCAATCCCCTCAGCTTCGAAATCTAGGCAGCCTCTGAGCATTGCCATGGTGTGCCCTGAGGCAGCCTGGCAGCATCTGCCAATTTCTGTGGTGTAACTATTCCCACCGTGGTCAATTCGAAGCTACCAAAATGACGCTGACGTGGAATTGAGAAGAGATGTCAGCAGCCACCACAGTACTGCGTTTCCAGCACACAAACACAGTAACAGGTAGTGAAATGGAATAAAACAATGAAGAAGTGATGAGTTTTGAGTATCTGCTACTTTTATCTCATTGTATGTATACATCATTCAACTTTTAATAATGACTGTATTTAGCAACCAGCCTGCAGGATCGCTGAAAATTTAACAATATGCTCTTGGGACCGAGGGCAGCTCAGCCTTTCCCTTCCATCTGGATTACCAAAGAAATAACTGGTCCCACCTGTTCTCCTAGCTTCTGTCCCCACCCCTGCACAGTCTCTCCTCCACATAGCAACCAGAGAGGCCCTTTTCTACTGTCATACAGACAGTATGGGTCCTGCCCCTCCCAGGATGAAGCCTAAGGCCCCATGAAGGCCCGCAGAGTTAAACAATTCTGCCTGCCCTCCCTCATCTTCTGCCGCCCCCTCTCATTTCCTCTGCTTCCATCACACCAGCCTCCTACTGCTCCAAAACCCACACCCCCCAACCTCAGGGCCTTTGCACTTGCAGTCCCCTCTGCTGAGAGCTCTTCCTGCAGGTACACACATGCTCCCTCACCTCCTTCAGGTCTGCTCAAACGTTACCTCCCTGCTCAGGCCCGCCCCCCAACCCCCAGGATTCCTTATAACCTGAGCACTTAGCAGCATCAGGTATATGTTGGTTATGTTTACTGTCTGACCTCGGGGTCTCCCAGAGATGACAGGATGAACAGTGACTCCTTCAGCAGCATGCACACCAGGAGAGCACTGTTCACAGAGGTGAGGGCTGGGCCCCCGCGGGGTGGCCAGCAAGGTTCTGGGCTGGCAGGAGCACCACTCAGCCCAAGGCCTGGCACGTCTGCCAGTCCGTCACTGGAGGACCATGGCCAGGCGAGGCCTGCAGGCTGCCAGAGGGCAGACCCCGAGCTGGGCCAGGGGCTTGGGCTCCGGGAAGCAGGGGCAAGGGTCAGGGAGCACGCTCACCTCGTAGAAGAGCCCCTCGGGGAAGGGCCGGAAGCACTGGGCGCACACGAAGCAGTGCTCGTGGTACAGCTCTCCGTTGCTGTTGACGATCCGCTCGGCAGGGGCGAAGCGCGCCTGGCAGCGCTGGCACACGGCGTTGGCCAAGGCGCTGGACATGTTACTGAGCAGGAGAAAGGAACAGAGGTCAGGACCCACGGGCCGCACTCGAGGGACACACCTTCTGGGGCGAAGCACAGCACCATCCTCACCCCAGGCTGGCCTTGGCACCGTGGAGACTCAACATGCAGTCAGCCCACGTTGCCCCACACCAGCTTGGGTCACCCCGTGTGGCTGTCACCCACCCCTGTGGCCACCGTGTGCCAAGGACACGCCAGGTGCCAGTGTGTGCCAAGATGCAGTGGCCTTCCCAGATGACACCCCTGCGAGCCCCGCACAGCGTCTCCAGCTCACAGACGGACAGGCAGAGGCCTGGAGAGAGTGACCCCCCCGAGGGCCACAGTGGGCAGAGGCAAAGCCGAGATTAAAACTAGCCCCTCACCCTGGAGCCCCGTCTCTCCCCATACCCTGCAGTCCCCAGTGCCCTCTGTGGAGGGTCAGGCACAGGGCAGGCCATTGCTGGGCTCATGCCGGTCAGAGCAGTCAGGGCTCCACTCCAGGCCCTCACTCGCGGTGCAGCAGGGGCTGGCCCTGGCTCTCTAAGCCCAGGTGCCCAGCCAGAGAAGGACCCTAATCATGGCCATGACCGTGTATTCTGGCCTTTAGATGACAGACGCACAAGCTCTCTGCAGGGCGCGCGGCCCACTGGAGGCTTGCAAAGGACAGTGTTGTGGTTGGCATTGTCACTGACCTGGCCCCCAAGCTACTCAGTCATGGTGCTGGGCCATCTCTCAAGGCAGCAGGGACACCCGGGAACCCTCCTGTGCCTCCTGTCTCCCACTCAGGGAACCAGAGTGTCTCGGGTAAAGAGCATCATCCAGGCACAGGGGAGCAGCTTGGGATTCACACACTTATTTCATCCCTGAGGCCACCCTGCTTTTCTAAGGCTCAGAGAGATTGAGTAACTTGAGCAAACTCACAGAGCAGATGACAAAGTCCCAAATGTGAACTCAGGCTGAACCGATTGCAATGGCTCTTTCCCCTGCGCCACGAGTTAGATTCATTCCTGCCCCACCCCCTCCAAACACAAAACCACCCTACCAGGGAGAAGGTGAGACTGTGAATATTTGGGAATGGGAGCAGGATGGGGAACGACCCTCCTCATCCATGTGGGCAACTGCTGTCCCTGGGGCAGGTGATGGCTGTCCTTATGGGAGGCGTGAAAGCCAAACTGAACTCCAGGGGAAATCGCCTGGAGACACATGCTGGCTCCAGCCTAGGGCCTCGGCTCAAGCAGGAGGAGGGACCTGGCAGTCAGCCACAAGAGCCTCTACCAATTCCCAGCGCCCTAATGCCCATGACCTTGACTGCAAGGCGGCAAGCAGACTTTGTCTCTTGTCAACTCGGGTGGATTGTTGGCGGCTGCCGGGAAGGGTGGGCACAGAAGGGAGGGCAGGGCCAGCAAGGAGAGACGCAGCCAGTCGGCCGTGTCACACAGACTCGCGCAGTGGCACGCAGCCCATCTTTGGAGGACGTCTTTCCAGCCGGCTCCGCCTCCCGCCCTGCTGAAGCCCACCCTTCTCTCCGGGCTACAGCGCCCTGAGAGCTCTCAAGTGACACTGCCTGTGCTGGAGTGCCCAGGCGGGAGGGGCCCGGAGGCGGGTTAGGGCTCTGCCTCTCAGGTGTAGACTGTGGACAGCGGGTCCAGCAAGAGGTGGCTGCCACAGACACCAGGGGCGCTGCGCTGGGGCGTCCAGGCAGGACTTCCTCTCTGCTCTGCCAGAGGGACCCTCACGGCAGAAGGGCCAGAAGGCTCTTCAGCAAGCCCTGTCAGGCAAGCAGGCCTCCGCCTGCCCTCAGGTATAGCTGGGGCACCAAAACCACCTCCCACGTCCACATTTAGGCCAAAGGGGCGAGGAAGAAGGACAGAGGCAGGAGGGCCTGGGCACAGCCCAGGTCGACAGGGAGGCTCCGCGCGCAGCGGCCACCACCTTCCTTTCCGGCTCACCGCTGGTCGCCATGCAGAGGAACAGACAGGGCACAGACTGATCAGCCAGGCCCCCAGGAGCTGGGCTGGACTCTGTCAGCTCAGGCACAGCTTCCTATCCCAAGGACACCGTGAACCTGGAGGCCTTGCCTTCCCAAAACATACACCCAAGGTAGCTGGGAGGAAGTTCCAATGCCTGGCCATGAACACGACCTTGGCGGATCTTGGAGAAGTCAGAAATCAACAGGAAATCCTGTGACTCTGGGCCTGGAATTCCCCACCCAAAGAACTCAGAAAATGCAACCAAAACATGTATTCAAGTCCAGCCCCCGGCTTTCAGATTGTTCCAGACATCTGGACCCTGACCAAGTGAGTGCGCAGCAGGCCCATCACAAGTTTTCCCCTACAGAGCCCGGGCCTTGCCCCAGGGCAGACATTCGGAGACAGCATCTCCACGTGATGGGCACAGCAGCTAGCCCCTAAGAGAGCGGCTGGCTTTGCACTGTGCCTGGGTCTACCCTGGCTGGGGCCCTAGGAGGCCCAGGTCAACAATTTTGCCGTCTGTCCCCTACACGCCTCTCAGGTAGATGGGGCATGGGGGATACCACCTACCTCCCGCCCCGCTGGTTGCCCCAGACTTCTATGTCTGCATCCCCACAGTCCTTGCTTGGGAAGAAAGCACTCCAACCCACTGACCAAAGACGGGGGATGAACAGACAAGCCCATGTGCCCTATAACTGGATCACAGCCCCATCAGAGACGATGCCAGCTGTCCCCTGCAGGAGGCAGTCGCTCCGAGCTCAACCCCATGTGTTTAAATCCTGACAGCTCTAGCCACCAGTTGTGCCCCTGGAGAAAGGTACCAGCTCCCTGCAGTCTCGTTTCCTCATCCGCGAGGAGGTAGCCAGAGAAGCAGGAACTGCCCCTCAGAACTGAGGTAAAGAACTTGCTGCCTACAGAAGACAGCATGCGGAGCACAGGGCCAGGCAGGCCAAGCGCTGGATGAAAGAGCTGTTGTTTCCAGCAGCCCAGGGACCTCCCTCCCAGCCCAGCAGTGCTCCCTGCAAGACGGCAAAGGAGGGAGGCAGGCATTCCATGTCCTCCTTCACATTCTGCCTGAGAGCGGGGAGCACAGTCTGCTCAGATAACATCAGGGAGACACCACCGCCCCACCAGCACCTAGAAGCCAACCCCCTTGCTGGGGGCAGGGTGCAGGGGGCAGGCGTGGAGACTCACCCACAGATGTGCACACTGCCTAAGACGAGCTAGGGCAGCCAGTGGGGCCAGAGGTAGGTGCTCACCCCACCCTGTCCCCCTCTCCAATGCTCCCCAGCATCCCCAAACACTCTCAGTCTTATACCCAACATAAAAGAATCTGATGCAAGACATCTGGAGCTCTAGCCTAGGGTGTGGTGGGTGGAGTCCTTTCTGAGCCAGGTCCTCATGAGAGGAGGTTGCTGGTTCCAGATAAGGAAAGTGACCTACCAAGAGGGTCAGAAACCTGCTTAGGTCACACGGGATTGGATCTGTGCTCTCTTGTCCCCTCAGCTCCTGGTGGCATCATGCAGGCATGACCATTCAAAACTCTGTTTTTCCTACAACCTCAGACCAACCTCGATTGCAGCCTCCTACCCACCCAACCCTAGGAAGCCAGCGAAAGGGCCTGGGCACAGGCAGGGCCAGCCATAGGGGACTTTCCATACTCAAGGGTGAGTCAGTGTTGGTGAGGCCAGCTCACAAGCCAGAAACTCAAGGCAATAGGAAGTTGAGGTTAGCATATGAACATGCGTGCATGCATGCATGTGTGGGCCATTCCTGATGCCTGATCTTCACGATCAGCCCTGTCCTCCTTGCCTCTAGACCAAGTTCTTGTGCTGCATTCATACTATGAAACCAGCCTCCACAAAGGCCTCTGGCCCATCAGCGCCCTGTCACCCACTCCCTGCCCCATGGCTCCCTCCACTCACATCTAGGGTCATCCAGAGACCAACCAGTGAGGGTTCCTGTTCACTCGGACACATCACCTGGCCTCCCAAGCCCTGAGTTCCCACCGGAGCAGTGGGCTTATCCAGTTCCTGCCCTGGTGTGGCCCTTGGTGAGAGCCCTGCGACACTGGTGCTGACACAGGAATGGCTGCAGCAGGAGCCGCGCGGGTGCATCTGTGCAGCCTCTGCTTCCCAGGCCCCACGCGACAGCCTCCCGCTTGCCGCATTCTCACTCCCGGATGTCTCTGAGGGCTCAGTCCCCTCCCACGCACCCCCAAGTGCTCTGTTGTCACCGCTGAGCATCAGCCTCTAAACCTCCTCTTCTCCCCGGGTCCTCCAGGTACCCCACCTCTGTTACTGCTGCTCTGCCTCATCCCTAAATCCCTACCCCATTCCTCCCAACTTTCAAGTCCTCCCCCACACTCTGCGCCCACACCCCGGGGTTCCCACCTGCTGCTTTGATGCAAAAGACAACAAACCCACAGCCCCCACTGCTCTCTTGCCCCAATTTCTAGCAGATCTTTCCACCCTGATGGCTCCTGAGATGCTGCAAAATCAAGGAGTCCAGGACCCGCTCCCCCAGCCCCACTCTCACTCGGAGGGCTCCCCTATCTATGTGCCCTTCAGACTCTCTCCACCCCAGATTAACTCATCCTCAGAGACACCTTGAGGTCCATCCTGAGCCCCAGAAGCTCCCCCTCCCAGTCCCAAAGGAAGCGTTCATCATTGGTCTAGCCCAGCATTTCTCCCCAGGATAGAGCAGTTCAGGCTTTTGAGTCAGTCCAACCTGGCTTCAAGTCACTGCTTAGCCCCTTTTATAGATGAGTGATGTCCAGCAGGTTCCTTGACCGCTCAGTTCCATCCGCTAGAAAGCAGCCAAAAAGTTTGGAGGAGCCTGAAAGCGGTAGTGGCGGTTACTTCGACAACTTATCTGAGCGCCCCATCCTCAGCGCCCTGCCCAAGAGTGCTGATCCCAGATCAGTAACCCCGGCTGGATGAAGCCGCGCCTCGCCCCCACTCTGACCGCCAAGCCAGGCGCTGTCCCCACGCCCCGGGCTGCGGGCGGCCGGGCGGCCGCCGCCGTCGGAAGGGCCAGGCGGGGTGTCCGAGGAAAGGTCCACGGCCGCAGCTTTCCGGCCATTGTCCCCCGTGCCCCTGCCCTGCCCCCCGGGCCACCTACCCTGGCGCCGCGGGCGGCGGGCTCTGCCGGTGCTGGCGCCGCCGGTACAGCCCCGACGCGGCGAGCGCGCCCAGCCGGGTGGCCATGGCACGGGCCTCCCTCCCTCCTGCCGCCCGCTCCGCCGGGTCGAGGGACCCCAGCCTCGGAGGGCAGGTGCGGCCGCGGGCAGCCACGAACGACCGGACACCGCGGCCAGGCACCCACCCCTCTGCACCGGAGCTCACGTTACGCACTGCGATCTCCAAAGGGCAGCGGAGTCAACTCCAAATAGAAAGGATATTGTTCCCGCCGCGGGGGCAGCGCAGTGAAAGCTGAGGCTAGCAGGATTGGGTCTGGGCTGGGGAGGCGACACGCTGGGAAGATCCCAACCAGCACAGAGGTGAGTCCACAGTGGCAGGGCAGGCTGCCTAGAGATCTCGGGCTGCCAGGAGCCTCCGAGGAAATCCTAGGCCCCCTGAACACGCTGACGATGGTATGTCCTCCTCTGAGGAGGGCAGTATGGACCTGAGCCAGCTTAGGAATCCTGCAGTCAAGAAGCTGATGAGGGATTCACACATGTGCCCACTTTCTGCCTTGGTCCCTTTCCTGAGAAAGTGCAGCCACCTAGGAGACCCAGGAGACCCAGCTTCCCTGATAGCTCAGCTGGTAAAGAATCTGCCTGCAATGCAGGAGACCCCAGTTCAATTCCTGGATCAGAAAGATCCTCTGGAGAAGGGATGGGCTCCTTACTCCAGTGTTCTTGGGCTTCCCTGATGGATCAGATGGCAAAGAATCTGCCTGCCATGTGGCAGACCTGGGATGGATCCCTGGGTTGGGAAGATCCCCTGGAGGAGGGCATGGCAACCCACTACAGCATTCTTGCCTGGGAAATCCCTCGGACAGAGGAGCCTGGTGGGCTATAGTCCATGGTTGCAGAGTTGGACACGACCAAGCGACTAGGCACAGCACAAGAGACCCAGACCAGGGCAGCCTAGTCCCTGGACCTGGCCAACAAATAACCATCCACTCCAAAAGAAGTTCACACAGCCAAAACCTAGAGGGCATGCAGTCCCCCAGCTCTTCACGGAGTGCAGAAGCAGCAGGATCTGATGGAAGACCCCCAGGAAGACATGGTTTCCAAGCATTTCTACCTAAAGGTATTTATTGGTGGGGCTACTGTGATCTATGTGCAAACACCCACGACCAGCATCTGAACTGTGGCCACTGACAGCCGAGGAAGAACCATGATCAGCATTTAATAAGGATCCACAGCACTCACAGAAATCTATCACAGTGATTCCATTTCCCTGAAAAACCTCTCTAGTGAGGTCAGAAAGCATGAGCAGTACCTTCCCCTGCCTTCCATCATTCCAGACAGCAGGATGCTGGTCTTCTGACATTGGGGAAGGAGGAGACTTTAGAGGGGATCCACCAGCACTCAGATGCCAGGCCTACACATCAAAGAACGAACATCACCCATTAAATTCAAACTCAAGGAAGTAAGTGCTCATTAACCACTCTGGGAGTCAACACCCAAACACAGCCAGGTGACTACAATCATTGTGTGCAGTACAGTTTGTCAATACACCTTGATTCCAAAGGTACCAAGTACTGATCAATTCAATAAATATTTTCTTAAAGGTGGCACCAGGGGCTAAAAGGGCATAGAGAAGCTGAGCCTGGAGCCAACAAGTAGAAGGATCACCTCCTGCCTTCTGATTTAGAGCTGAATGCTTAAGAAAGCTAGGGTATAGAGTTTTCTTAGGGCAGCTTCAAGTTGATGGCCCAGGGCCTAGGCCTCCCTTACCAGCCTCCATTCAACCTGACCCGTATGGAAATTCTGATCTCTAGAGCCCAGAGCTCTCAGCCAGAGTCACAGTTACATTTAGTGAGGGAACACGTCCACAATGGTGGATAGACCTGGGAGGGAGGCTATAGCCACAACTGTTTTGCACATCATCATTTTAAATGAAGTTCAAGTCCAAGATTACCAAACACTAATTGATTCAACAAATATTTACTGTAAAAGGAGCACCAGAGGCTAGAAATTGAGAGAAGTTTAGTGACTGAATGAGTCCAAATCCCAAATCTCTGCATAGCCTTGTTTTCCAATTGTGCAGCCTCTCTTGCAGGGTGAGGGTGCCAGTCATGCAGGCCTCCCTGTCCAGCATTCTGGCTCCAGAGAACAGAGTTGCGAAAACATAGCAAAAATGATGTCAGCAAAAATGGCAGAATAAGGACCTCTGAAAGTCTGTCCTTCCGTAAAATCAATGAAGGATTTCCTTGGTGGATCAGCAGTAAAGAATCCGCTGGCCAGTGCAGAAGACAGGGGTTCAATCCCTGGATTGGGACAATCCCCTGGGGAAGGAAATGGCAACCCAGTCCAGTATCCTTGTCTGGGAAATCCCATGGACAGAGGAGCCTGGCAGGCTACAGTCCATGGGGTCGCAAAGTGTCAGACACAACTTAGGGACTAAACAACAACAAAAGCAATGAAAAAACTAGCAAAAACTGTCAGAGCCACCTTTTTCAGAACTCTATAAATTAACTAAAGACTTGCAGTAACCAGACAGCAAAAAAAAAAAAGAAAAGAAAAGAAAACAGCTGAGAAGACATATGGATGACCAAAAGGATGGCATAAAAATATGCTCAATATATTATAATCATAATCATTAAGAAAATGCAAGTCAAAACCTCAATGAGATATCACCTCTCACCTGTCAGAAAGGCTATTACCAAGAAGACAAGAAATAACAAGTATTGATGAGGATGTGGGAAAAAAGGAACCTTTGCATACTGTTCAAGGGAATGTAAATTGATGTAGCCACCATGGAAACAGTATAGAGTTTCCTCAAAAAAAATTAAAAATAGAACTACAATATGATCCAGCAGTTCCACTTCTGGGTATTTACCTGAAGGAAACAAAAACACTAATTTGAAAAGATATACACACCCCTATGTTCATTGCAGCATTATTTACAAAAGCCAAGGTATGGAAACAACCTAAAGTGTTCATTGATGGATGAATGGATAAAGCAGATGTGGTATATAAATGAAATGGAATACTATTTGGCCATAAAAAAGAACAAAGGGACTTCCCTGGTGCTTCAGCAGTTAAGAATCCACCTGCCAACAAAGGGAGCACGGGTTTGATCCCTGGCCCAGGAGGATTCCACATGCCGCAGAGTAAGTAAGCACAACTACTGAGTCCGTGCTCTGCAGCTTGCAAGACACAACCACTGAAGCCCATGGGCCTAGAACCCATGCTTTGCAACAAGAAGCCACCACAATAAGAAGCTTGCACACCGCAGTGAAGAGTACCCCTCTCTCTCCAAAACAAGAGAAAGCCCCTGAGCAGCAATGAAGACTCAGTGCAGCAAAAAAAAAAAAAAAAATGAATGAAATCTTGCCATATGCAACAATATGGATGAAACTTGAGGGTATTACGCTAAGTGAAATAAGTGAAATAAGTCAGAGAAAGAAAAATACTGCATGATCACACTTACATGTGGAATTTTAGTTATTTATTTATTTATTTTACATATGGAATTTTAAAAATTAAAGCCCAGGTCAGACACAGAGAATAGATTGATGGCTACCACAGGTGGGGGATGGGAAGTAGCCAAAATGGGTGAAGGGAATCAACAGTACAAAATTCCATTTGTAAGATAAATAAGTCATCGGGTTGTAATGTACAGCAGGGTGACTATAGTTAATAATACTGTATTTTGTATTTGAAAGTTGCTAAGAGAATAAATCTTAAAAGTCCTCATCACAAGGAAAAAAATTTTATAATTATGGTGTCAGGTGCTAACTAGACTTACTGTGGTGATCAATTCACAATATATACAAATATAAAATCATTATATTGCACATTTTCTAAAATTAATATTATATCGCAATAAAAATAGATAAGCTAAAAAATAACTGGGAGGGAATAAAAGAAAAAAAAAAACCTGAATCTTGGTAAGAACACTTTTATGGTATTTTAATTTATCTTAGTACCTTAATCCCCAATTCCTAACTCCATAGCTGCCCAGAAAAGTAACTGCTGACATTCCCAGTAATGGGGGAGAAGAGAGCTGAAATTCCTTCAAGGCTTCATTCCCAAAAGAATGACCTGGTCTTCCCTTGAAGATCACACTTGAAGGCTTTTCTTTATGTGACCTCAGTCGTACCAACCCAATGCTGAAAGCCTCACTTAGGGAGAGTTTTTCAAATATATTACGATCATAAACACCTATGGTATCATTGTCACAGACAGTGGATAACAGTTGGGCAAACAGATGACTAACTTAAAGAGCTTAAAAGGAAAAACCAAGGAATTAGATGCGCTTAGGAGCTCTGAAAAGAACTGACATATCGCTGGGAATCCAGAAAGCCATGCACATGCCCAGGGCTGTGTGTGCTCAGGAGAGCCCTGAGAAGGTCCTAAGCTCTCACGTCTGACAGATCCTGTTAGCTCTGTGCAGCAGGAAGTGAGACTAAGGCAGAGTTGGAAAACGCCTGGTTGGACTTTGAAATGTGCCTGAGAATACATTCAGAGCCTTCAGTAAAAGCTGGGAGACATTGATTTTGACAACTACAAATTTTGGCACTTGCCATAGGCACTTGCCACCTACCTCTCAGTTCAGTTCAGTCGCTCAGTCATGTCCAACTCTTTGCGACCCCATGAATCTCAACCTTCGCATGAGGTGGCCAAAGTACTGGAGTTTCAGCTTCAGCATCAGTCCTTCTGATGAACACCCAGGACTGATCTCCTTTAGGATGGACTGGTCGGATCTCCTTGCAGTCCAAGGGACTCTCAAAAGTCTTCTCCAACACCACAGTTCAAAAGCATCAATTTTTCAGCCCTCAGCTTTCTTCACAGTCCAACTCTCACATCCATACATGACCACTGGAAAAACCATAGCCTTGACCAGATGGACCTTTGTTGGCAAAGTAATGTCTCTGCTTTTTAATATGCTATCTAGGTTGGTAATAACTTTCCTTCCAAGGAGTAAGCATCTTTTAATTTCATGGCTGCAGTCACCATCTACAGTGATTTTGGAGCCAAAAAAAAAAATAAAGTCTGACACTGTTTCCACTGTCTTCCCATCTATTTCCC